AATCATTAACAAACCAGCAGTGAGCAAGCGGACATCTAGCCTTGTAATCGCTGGTCGACCTCTCGGTATGGGCATCTATGATTTCCGACGTGGATCCGCCGGCCAACTCGTGGCATGTGGTTGCTGATTGTGTAATTAACGTTCCGGGGCCTCACCACCGCTCGCTGATTACAAATTCACCGTGCAATGCAATTGCAAGTTTTTTTGCAACAAAAAGGAAGGAACTAAAGCCCGTCTCTCTTTTCTTTAGAAATTAGAAAAACTCATCTTCGTGCAGCGTGTTTGATAAAGCTGAGACTTACGGAGGGAATGTGAACGAGTGGAAGTGGTGCGTGTGTGAGCAGTACGTGCTGCTGCCTAGGACCGATGCACGGCATTGTCAACGCAGTGGCTGAGCGGAGTGAGCGAGCTTGCTTTGGCGAATTGGCGTACGCATTGCGTGGTCCATGGGGCCGGGGTGACGGAGCAGGCACTGCCGGCGGTGCGCGCGTCGCCTGGGGCCTGGGGGTGGATGGGCCGGGGGCACGGCATCGGCATTGGTCCCGTGTGTCCGTCCTAGTCTGATAGAGTGATAGATAACGAATCCATGCATGCGATGAGATAAGATTGCATGACAATAACAATGCTTTTGACGTGAGTGCTCGGTTACGCAACGCCCGCGCGCGATGATCTCACATTTGTCAGACTGCCGTAACTGGAGAAAAAAAAAAACTACTGGTCGCGACGAAAGCCTAATAAAGCACGGGGTGAATTTTGTTTGTTTGTTATGCGACAGCGTGCCAGTGCGGTGTGCTTAGGTCTCAGGTCTTGGTCGTTGATGGAGGCATGACCAGGGCATGCCCACTGAGCACAGCGCAAGTTGCCCGGCCACTTCGATCGCTCGCTCGCTGGGTTGCGTTGCGTCCTGGCAAAAGGTTGCCGACGATCCATCACCAGCCAATGCGGCATCGATTGTACTGTTGTTCCATCTCCATCGCTCGAATCGCGGCCGTCGTCGGTGCGTGCTCTGGCACGCAGCCCGCCCGGTCCGCGACATGGCTCATGGACGCAGAATTCTGGCGCGTGCATGAGACGTCGCGCTCCGAATGTGCAAAGATTGGCAGCTCGCTCATTTTGTAAACTTATTAGGTTGGTGCAAATATGAATAAAAAAATTATGGTAATTTAGGATACAGTAAGAAGGATGTGTGTTCCCATCTTCCATCGCCCGGAGCGCAGCCCATCCCCTCCGGCGAATCTATCTGTGAGTTCCCATCTTTCCCTCCCCATTGGGTTCCCTACTTCCGCCGGCGCGGACATCTGTTCATGGAAAAGGAGGCAAGAAACCCCCACGGCCCAACCGACGCTTACTCCGAATTCTCTCTGTTATTCTTCTTTCTTTGAAGCAATGCAAAGCCTTCAAATTAGCAAGCTAGATTTGAACCAAATGATTATTTGTTGATTTTGTCCAGAGTATAGGATTAGGGTTTAAAAAGAGTTTTCTACGGCATTGAAGTGATCAAGCTAAATTAGGGCTTTAGAAAAGAGATCTCTACGGCATTGAAATGATAAAATGGAGTTGTAAATCAGATGAAAATTTAAGCTTGGGATGAATTATGTTGTTTGAATCACCTACAATCAGCAAATAAGTGATGAATGTTTTTGAAAGAGGACATTACCAGAGCCAATAATGAATTAACAAAAATGTCCTACTATTTAGGTCGTCAAGGGCTATGATGTTGGATGCTTTGTCTCTCCTATACCAATTACCAACCATCTTGTATCGATTGATTTTGGCAAGCAACATTATTAGTGGGTTCTTTATTGCTAAACAATATTACTAGTGGTTTCCTTCATTTTGGTAAAGACTGTATCACTACTTCATTCATTCTTGCTGCAAATCTTTGTCTCTCTTTGTCGAACTATTAATGTTAAAAAATCCTCAGGTGGCATTACTATTTAGACAATATCACTTAAAAAATATCCTTATGCTTATGATATAATTTCTGCCCATTTTGCTATTGCTACACCCCTAATTTTGTAATGTTTGCTGACCTTTCGTTGGAGTGGAGGTTACCCCTTCTCTTGCTTCATGTGAATTGCATATCTTTTTCTTTGGGGCACAATTTCTCCTATCTGGTGGGTGTCTATTTTTTTAGTTTTCCTTAGTAGTCGCTATGGTCATCTTCAGTCAACCATTTCAGTATTATGGTTAGCAGCGCCTTCCCCAAAAAGGTTACCTCGTGTCTGAAACCGAATCCACCGCCTTGCCGATTTTGCTTCGTTGGTTTTGTTTTGCCACGCATAGTCGATCTTTGTGTAATGCTGGTTCTGCCTTTATCTTGTTGAGAATTTGGTACTGTGGTTCACACTAGTGTTAAGTTAGTGTCCATTTTGTGCTTTATAATGATTCTATGGGCATGGGAGCTGTTCCTATTTGCCAATTATCTATTCACAAGGGACATGTCTGCCTCTTGGCATATCTTTCATTTGATCTGTAAATTTATTTCTCGAATGTGCAATTGATTCATGAAATTCAGAGAATTGGGATTACTTGTGCGGATGGATCCTCATCCTAAGGAATTTTACAAAATAATCTTGAGTGCAAATGCCATGGATGACGAAAGCAAATGGCTATGGTAAAGCTTTATGCAGTTCGTTTTTTAAGTACTTCTGGTGTATGAGGTTCTACACGAAAAGCGCTACTAGCATGAATCTCTTATTTCTGTAGACACTTATATTATATTCTCTTGCTGTATTGACAAATGGTCAAAGGCATATGCTATTGAGTTGTGAGTTTTGTGTTATTGCTCCTTCTCTAATCTCTAGTACTCCATCCATTCCAAATTATAAGATGTTTTGGCTTCTAGAAAAGCCAAAATGTCTTATAATTTGGAATGGAGGGAGTACTATTCTTTTATGGCAATGAGCGCATTCAGCATTCATGGAACCTTTAAAGTTTCTTTCATACTAGTAGTGCCTATGTAATTCATGTCAGAGAGAATGTTTCATAGTGGTTTGTCATTTGTCCAAAAGTAAATAAAACACAGATCAGGAGTTCTCTTTCAGCATGACTGGAATGATTAATGATCCTTCCAAGCTACTTTATATATTTCAATTCTGTAGTGATTTAATTATCAAGGACAGGGGTACCTACACCTACGCTATATGTTCATGAAGTAATCAACATTGGCTTGTACTGATCTGTTGCTAGATGAAGATGCATATTTAGGAACTTAGTTGAGCATGGAAATGAGGTAGGTTAGTGCAACATGTTGCAAAAAAAAACGACTTATTGCTTGAGGGGTTCTCTCTACATTGGCTTTTGCAACCCTTCATTCAAGTGAAATATGCAAGCTTCTAAATTGTGGATGTCAGTTAATAGCAGATCAGCATATTGGATATTGGGTGATATGATCCCATCTTGGCAACTGAAGTGTCTTCATATTTTTTTAACTATTTATGTATCATGTTCTTTTTGATACCAAACCTTAAGCATCAAAAGTATATTCATTTAACTTTTATTAAGTTTTGGTGCTTTACAGCCACATTTTTATTTCAAGGACAGATTTTATTTTCTACTAATGTGAATTTACTAGTTAAAAACTACACACAAACTCACAAATTCTTTTCACTTTCAATCAATGTACAACTGAAGCAAGTGGCCTTTAAAGTTTTAGAAGCATAGTGAAATATGTTGGTGACATCGTGAATCTTTACAGTAAGATCTACTATTGTAGCATAGTAAATGATAAAACTAAGGTGCCTCCCTACAAAAACTATGTATTATTTTTCTGATTATATTTAATTGTACTGAAGCATGCCCAAATAGGAGCATAATGGTTGTGTGAGACTGATATATTGGTGAAGTTTTCTGCCATATTTTGCAATATACTGGGCCATTTACTGCTGTTCCAAGCTGATTTATTCGATATGCTATATTGACATCTTCTAGTGACTGATACTGACATGTCCTACATGCTGGCCAATACAACTGATATTTATTACTCCCTCCGTTCCAACTTATAAGATGTTTTGGCTTTTCTAGATACATTGTTTTTACTATGTATCTAGACATAATGTATATCTAAGTACATAGCAAAATCTATGTATCTAGAAAAGCCAAAACGTCTTATAATTTGGAATGGAGGGAGTAGCTTGATGCTACCAACTATTGGTGGAAACAGGGAGCATTCTATTTTCATGGTGCCCGCTACTCTTAAAGATCTATGGAAAAAGGGACCACTTGCAATGAAGAGCTTACATTTTACCCCTTTGTATCATGGACATAGATAGGACAACCTCAATTTCAGAAAGGTCCCAGTTCTAGTTTTGTCCAAAGTCAGATCTTTCTATCTTTGACCATCAATTTATAGAAATTCGTAAAATTTAATATCATAAAATCATTTATTTAGATTTACCATGAGAAATACTTTCATATAATATCTAATTTGCACGTTAAACTATATGAGTTTGCAAGAGTTGATGGTCAAAGATAGAAATGTTTGACTCAAGACAAAACTAGAACTACAGCCTTTATTTTTAAAGAGGGACTATATCTTGCCACTAGGACTAGTAAGACAACTGTTAAACTTCCTAGGTCAACTAACACTAAAATTAAAATATTGTAAAAATTGAGAACATGTTTTTTCTTGAAGTTCCACATTAATATTTTTCCTGAGTAGTTTAGGAATTGGGTTTGCTAAAGTTTTTGTGTAGTTAGATGACAGAATCATCGGCGAAAAGACTGATTGTTCTTGTTTTCTACAGTTCGGTGTGGGGGCATTTTTTTTTGTGTTTTTTCACGGACTTTGTCTCCTTTGTGTATTCTCTTATCTCTTAATGAAGTGATACGCTACCCTTTTGCATGTCCGAGAAAAATAATCATCGGCTCCACAAACTAGTTTAATGCTTTGCTTAAGGTGCTGGCTTTGCTTCATCTATCTTGTAGTTTAATGTCCTGAGTTTCTAATTGTAGGCTTATGATAAGCTATGAGTGTGCCACCACCTGCCAGTGCCAGAATGGATGGGAATAGTGAGAAAATCCAATTCTCATGGGGGAAGTGTATAGCTAAAGGTGTTAAAACAGGTTCACGATTCTATGGGTCCTTCACATTTGACAATGTGAAGTATTCGTTGTATGACTGTGTCTATCTGTTTAAGCATGGTGATCCTGAACCATACATTGGGAAGATTATTAAGATTTGGGAGCAAAATCAGGCTAAGAAAGTAAAAATTCTTTGGTTTTTCCTCCCTGAGGAGATTCAGAAATATTTAAGAGGCCCTGTGGTGGAAAAGGAGATTTTTCTTGCTTCTGGTGATGGTAGCGGGCTTGTGGATATCAATCCGCTGGTATGTTTCTCATAATGTCATTCCTATGTTCTGCCTTGTTTTTTTTGTCGTCATCCTTAACTTCTTAATCTGACATCATGCCCATAGGCTTGTGCATTTTGAGTCCATAAATATTTTATCAATATTAATCAGGGGTGCTTGTTTATTGTTGGTTTGGAGTTAATGAATCAAAATGCTTGCTTCTAGTTGGTTTGTATTTGATGGATCAGAATTATCTGTTTCTTTTTAAGTTTCTCTCACTTATTGTAGCAGTGAGAGCTATAATTCAATCAAGTGCACGATCTTGATCTGCTTTAGTGCTATGGTGGTATTGTTGTTAATTCTCTGTTTCATTATCACTAATAATTGCTTGCATTCTTTCTTCCTCTTTTAGTTGCACTGAACATTCTTCGAGTTACATGGAATTCTGAAATGTCTTTGACAATGTGTAACATGCCAAATCTGTCTCGATTAGTACTCCCTCCGTCCTGAAATATAAGCGTATTTCATACGGGAAAATTCAAAACTTTACAAACTTTGACCAACAATTAGTCAATTATATACAAGTTTAGGACATAAAACTTGTGTCAATAGATTTATATCCAAGGAGCTTCTGAGATGATATTGATTCTTTAGCAAATAAAAATATACTGTAAGAGAAATTAAGGGTAAAATTCTGCTTTGTTTGACCTTTCTCTGGTCAAAATACATTTATCATTTTGGGACGGAGGGAGTAAATTTTGGTCTACTTGCCAGCCAACTGTCAAAACTAAATATGAATTATCCTGTGTCTTTTAATTGGTTATTCATTCAAATTTACATAATACATATAGAAAGAATGGTGTGAATAGGAAATGTTCCTTTTGTGACAGATTCACAAATTAGAAATGTAATTCAGTGGTAAAAAGATAGATTCACAAATTAGAAATGTAATTCAGTGGTAAAAAAGTTTGAATCTCAGTGTGCAAGAAATCTGCCAACAATTTGAATCGTTTCTAGTCGGAGGTCAACAGTTAACTTTCGTTGAGCCAGTTGAGCATGCTAATTAAGTAGTGCATGTCATTGAGTGTCACTTATCAACTACAGATGTGCATGGTTGAACACTTCCTGCTCTCATGTATCGGAGTCGTAAATGTTAAATCTGATATTTTTTTCCAATTTTGGATTTATCTACTACTAAAAGATTTCAGTGGTCATGTGTTTCTTAATTAGGAAGCTATTGCTGGAAAATGCACTGTTATATGCATTTCAAAAGACGAGAGGAATCGCCAACCTTCGCCTCGGGAACAAACAATGGCTGATTATATCTTCTATAGGTGCTTTGATGTTAAAAGTTGCACACTTTCTGATGAGTTGCCTGATAAAATCACAGGGCTGGAAGGTCAGCAGAGGATCTAGACTTGATTTATGCCCTACAAATTTGTCTGGTAATGTTTTCAATTGAAGTGTCTAATTATAGTCCTTGTGGTGCAGTTAATGTTCTGCTGAATCCAAAAGACGAGCAAGGCATGTCCAGTGCCAGTGCAGCAAATGTTCTGCTTAATCCAAATGTGGATTAGGTTTTGGCTGCCACATTCACCGCTCCCTGTTCAGCCGCTAAAGAGGATGATGAAAGTCCGGCTACTGCAGTTCCCCTTCCTCAGGCATCAGTTAAGGAGGTGGATGAAAATCCGCCTGCTGCTATTCCCCTTTCACAGTCTGTGGTCAAGAAAGAGGATAAAAAATCAATAGCTGCCATTCCCCTTTCTCATTCAGCAGTCAAGGATGAAAAACCAGTTGTTTCGGCTCCCCATCCACAGTTATCAGTTACGGTCAACATTCCGAAACATAAAGAGTCACAGAAAGCTCATGCTGGGGAGAGGCCACCAAAAAAGTTGAAATTATCCCAAGAAGCTACAGGGCAGGACATGGTCCCATCTATTACTGACAAAAGACCTTTGGCGCTACCATCAAGACAAGCTGTAAATTCTTTAAACTGACTATTCCTTTATACAGCATGTTACTCCTGCTATTGTTTTCTTAGCTGTTTCTGGAGTACATACAAACATGCTCCCCTTTTATTTAACGTTACAATCTTAAAAGAATGTGAAGAGACATTACTGCATCTTTCTAAATTGTTCCATACCAAGTTTTGTACATGCTTACATTTTTCCAGACCCATGTCTCTATTCATTGGTCACTGAAGTTAATGAGAGGTGGAATGAGGAGAAAAATGTACCAATGCAATTGTGAGCACAAGTTTGGTAGGGTATATGGTCATATATGAGAGGTGGATTGAGGAGACCAATGTCCGCAACTGTGAGCACAAGTTTAGTAGGACATATGGTCATATTGTGCTCCTTACATTGATCTTTTATTTGCCAACGGTCATAATCTTTATGAACTTTTAACTGTCAAATCAATTAGAGTTTTGTCCCATGTCTACTGCACACCAGAAATATTCCTCCTGTCTACGGATCATTTGTCCGAAATTTTTTTCTGCTTTTGCTATGCTTTCATTTTTTACCAATTATTACTATTGTTTAGTGTTTCTTACTGATTTTTCACCATATTTCCTTTTTTTAATACTAATACATTTTCTGTTATTTAACAGGACAGAAGCACTTGGTTTAAAATTGTGAGTGATCTTTCTGCGCTACATATGCTATGATTGTACCGAAGAATGCCATATCTATGCTTGATTATCCATTATTAATCAGAATTACCATAAACTGATTACTATGTCTTGGACCTTAAATTTTATGTGATGATCTTTTTAACAAATATTTCAGCCATGGGATGACAGACTACAGATGGCTGATAAGCAGGGGACACTTGTATATATTCAAAATCTTGATATTCAGTTTGGAGGTGCTGACTTAGAGGTAGCATCCTGTCTATTTGGTTGTCATAAGCCCAAGCTTCTTCTCTATTATATTCCTGGCCTAGTATTTTTTCAATTATGTGAATATCCTCTGCTGTCTGTTTAGTTGCAATTCTATTTCTGCACACTCATCTCCTACAGTTTTTCTTTCCAATAGTACATTCATTCTTTTCAATCTCAGTATTGAAGTGTTTGTTTTAGGCTTTGTTAGTACTACTATTACTATTTTGTTCGTTTTATTTTATTTACTCCTACATCCCCTTCAACATTTTTTCATGACAACAATGTTTGCAGGAGCTGGTTCGTGAAGCACTACAGCTAAGTTGCATTGCCAAGCCCATTAACCACCCCACCTGTGATGATCCAAACAATGGTGAGTTGTTCACTAGTTCAAGTGAAACACTGGGCGGTGGTGTGCGTGTGTGTGTGTGTGGGGGGGGGGCGCTGGTGCCTAGGCGAGATCACGAGGCTGGGGTGCCAAGTGGCATAGGGCTTTAAATGATCTATTGTTGACATAGAAAAGGGGAAAGGGTGATGGACCGTTGGATCCGCATCAAGGTTACTAAATCGGCTAGTCATCGCGATACCTACCAGGACGACTAGTCGACCTGGTCGGTCTAGTCATCTATATAGTCGTCCTGTATATACCAGGACATGTATGTAGGGTACATATATTATATACTTATATAGTAGAAATCGAGCATCAAGACTATATTTCTGGTTAGTTGGAATGTCCAGAACTCCATATTCTTGTGCTGCTATAGCCTTTTCTATAAGGGATGCAACATCTGGAGAAGCTGAGTATGCTGAACCAGCAGCAACTGATGAGCTCATCTTCGTGCTCCCTTCCTGCGCACCCACAACCTTCCCTTGACCCCTGCTGCCCTACAGCAGGAGGGAGGAGGAAGCAGCAGGGAAGATGCACGGACGGGCAGCTGGGAACCGGAAGGGAGGGAGGACGGAGGAGTGGAAGAGATGCAGCTGTTGCAAGCACACAGCAACTTTGCAGCCGACGGCTGAAGGTTTCACAGGGTGAGGAGGTGAGGGAAAGAGTGGGAGAGATATAGGAGGGAAACCCTAATGGGCTTGGCCCAAACAGAGTTGGACAGTAAGTTGAAGCAGCTCATCTGCCTATTTGATGTCTAGTTGGTTAGGGTACCTATTCAGACGATTAATCGCGACTAGTTGACAATTAATCGGACGACCACGTTTTTTATCGCTCTGATCGAGTCGGAGTGCCTAATCGAGTGCTGGGTATAGGGCGATGAATCGTGATGAATCACGATTAATTGGATGATCTGCATCCTACCACCCAAAGTTGGACTGATATTTGTCCTGATAACCTGTCGATAGATGTATATACTTTTCCTTAATTAAATATATGTTCCATAAATTTGTCATCTTTGTCCATTTAGTGGTGGACTGGTATTTTTCTTCTTGGTTCTTGCAATTTAACTACAAGTGGTTTCTTATCTGTAGGAAAAGCATATGCTATATTCAGGACTAAAAATGATGCTGATGTGGCTATTTCAAAAATCAATGCAGGCTTGGTTGTTGGTGGAAGGTATGTGTTTATACTTGGATGTAAATCATGTAATTTACTCTCTGTGTTCAGTGCCAATGTGTCTTATTCTTTTGAATTTGCTTGAAGTGGGGTTCTATAATGCTTTGTGTCAACTGTTGAAATCTCGTGGCAGATCAACTTCCAAAAATTATGAATTAGATCAAAGAGTATTCTGAGGGGATTCTCTGACTCACTGGCTAGTTAGGGCCTGTTTGGGACAACTCCCCCAACTCCAGATCCACCAAAAATAGCTCCACTCCACCAAAAGTTTGCCAAACACTCTAGATCCACCAAAATAGTGAATCTCAGGGCCAGATTCACCAAAAATGGTGGATCTCCTCAAGGGGTGCTCCACCAACTCAGATTTGGTGGAGTTGGAGGAAATTACCCACCGCTGCCACTGATTACATGACTTACCGGCTCATTTCTATTTTTCTTTCCTCTTCCTCCCGTCGCGATTTCTTCCCCTTCGTCGCGACCGCGGCCGCCCGCGCCCTACCCCGCCATGAGCGCCTCCTCTCCCACCGTGCAGGAGCCGGTCTCGCCGCCGTCGGCCATGCGCGGACGCGCCCCGCCGCTCCCGTCCCTCGGATCTGCCTGCGAGCACCGGCCCCAGCCGCGTGCGCCGCTAGAGAGGCCGCCTTGGCCGCGTGCCTACGAGCTCCGGCCCCGGCAGCACGCCTGCGAGCTCCCACCGGTGGCCGCCCCCGACCAGCGCCCAGCCCGTCCTGGCCGGTCACCAAGCCAGCATGGCCGCCGTCCTCGCGAGCTCGAGATCTAGCCCCAGCCCCGAGAGCTCGCCCCCGTCCTCGCGAGCACGAGCTCCGCCCGTCGCGCGAGCGCGAGCTCCGACCTGCGAGCGTCGCCCCGTACTCGCGAGCGCCCAGCCCCGCCCCCTCCCGTCCCCGGTCGCGTGAGCGCCAGCTACGGTGGCCGGCCGCGAGCCCTGGCCATCGGAGGAGGACGAACAGGCGGCGTGTTTTTTCTTTTTTGTTTTTTTTTTCCATTTTGCTTGCTGACGTGTGGTGTGGGGCCTACGATTCAGCCATTGACATGTGGGGCCTATCCTAAGGGCAAATCTGACCATTCCAATCAAATTGCCCTTGCATGGATTTGGAGCTGCTGTGCATAGCAAGCCAAACGGTTTCACAGTGGATCTCAGATCCACTGGTGGAGCTGCTCCACGGTGAATCCTAAATCCAGATTCACTTTTTTAGAAGTGGAGCTGTCCCAAACATGCCCTTAATAAAGTTTGTCTAGCATGATTTTCTTGGTTAGCTACTGTTAATTCTTGCCTATTTTATAACTTGCAGACCTCTCTACTGCAGCAAAGGTTTACTCAAGGTTCCGAAATCTTCAGGAACTCTTGTTGGGCACTTGACCTTACGTAGTATTAAAATTGGTAAAAGACAGCGAGAAGAGCAGGTGGGTGTTTTATAATAAACTCTGCGATGTTTTCCTTCTTCCTTTGCTTGATATTTGATGCAACTGTCTGTTGTGCAGAGTAAGGCTGTATTGACGTCACATTGCTCTCAGCCCAACACGATAGAGTATGAGATGGCCTTGGAGTGGATGATTCTAAAAGAAGCACACACGAGAATGCCGTTGTCTTGTGTCTCACATGCAAGACCTTAAATTTGCATCTTCAATCGGTTTGTAGACGCATAGAGATCATAGGAAGGGGTTTGCAAGTATGGGCAGCAAGAGTGCAAGGATAGAGAAGTAGCAAGCTGGTGGTTGTGCCAATATCAGATGGAGGCCTTCGTAAGTATCACTTCTCAAGATGATGGGCAAGTTTCATATGTGGAAGGCGGTTGTGCACAGAGTTTTTTTTTTTTTTTTGGGTTGCAGTTGAATTCATTTCCTGTACTAACTGCACCATACGTTGACTGCTGATGTTAATTCTCCTTAGGAACGGAAAGGAGCAAAATTCGCAGGACAGCTTTAGAAATTAGAATAGCCTAGGCAGCAGCCGTTGCAGCAAGTTCGATGACGTTAGCTTATTTAAGGCTAACAATATAGTTATTAGTTAATGTATGCCGGTGTACCAATGGCTTCCTTTTTTTTTTAAATGACGTGCGTACGAGCAACTCCAAGGGATTATGTAAAATTAGGTTCCTAAATCAATGATTTGTGCACCGGCTGACCACACTCCTTCCTCTGTGAGCCAGCCCTCGCGCGTGCTCGTCGTGTTTGTTTCCCCGGTTGCGCCTGGGAGGCAGGCTCGCATGGGCGTCAATCAGATCAAGGTAGTGGAGTACTGTGGCGCAGTGATCTCAGATCAAATGGCCAAGCTCTTCGCAAACTGCTACTACATGCTGCTTGGCAGCTTGGGACAGAAATCCAGCTGGACAGCAAACCGTGGACCCAGACCTGCTCACTGCCCCCTTCACTCTGGCTGAAGCAAAAACGGCTATTGCTGGCATGAACAAGAACAGGCTTCTGCTCGGCATTCTATTGTGCTCTATGGAATCACATCACACCCCTGATTGAGCACCTCCTGGCATTCTATGACAACAATGTCAACTTGACAAGAATCAACAGAGCCCACATTATTCTCCTTGCGAAGAAGCATGTCGTCATCACCCCGACGCCTAGACCAATATCCCTTCAAAACCTGTCGGTCAAACTACTAACCAAGATGATGACAGCGCGACTGTTGAAAGAGATTACAAAATTGTTGCGCTTGATCAGACCGGCTTTTTCTAGCTAGCAAGAAACATGGCTTAGACAACTTCTTTTAGAACAACGAATATAATAGTTGCTTCTTCCAGAAAAATATCTAAAATTAGACTCCATAACACAAATAGCTACTCTCTTGGAGTTACTCAAGCCTATCGTTTTGCGTGGCATACTAAGACCCTCTAGGCTTCTTGTGTTTTTCCAACTCTGGTTTTGAAGGCTTAGGCTTTTCAGCAATGGTTTGGGTGAAACTTGCTAAACACTAGCTCATAAAATGGTTAGGTGAGGAAACTATAGCGGGGAGAAGTTTGTTTTTTCACTAGAAGAGTGAAACCATCTAAACGTGAACATGATTTTTCTGGCATTTTAGGTAAAGTTGTTTGCAAGTGACCTTATTGCCTTACCAAATAGGGTCTAATACTATAGCTATCATCCAAATAGGACCATCTTTTAAGTCTGGTTTATTTATGGTATGTTAGGTAGAGCTCTTGCTTCTAATTGTTTGTAAAAGTGATTTTGTGGTGGAAGTATTCCTCTTGGATTCTTTATGATAAACCCTTATGTAGAAAGTGATTTTGTGTGTCGAGGTGAATTAAGAGAAGTTACTTTTTGTAGCGCTTAGTAGAGATGTCAATAGGCCTCGATCCTCGATTCCTCCTAGGAACTACCCTATTAGGGGACTAGGGGGTGGCAAATGAGAAAAATAGTCCATATCAGGTTTCGAGAGGACAGAGATGGGGAACCATGTCCCTCCTTGTTCCTTTTGTACCCACCCTCACTTTTACTTTAAATTAGGACCTTAGCCTATTAAAAGCCCATCAAAATGCCAATACATAGCCTAATTTGACACCATGGATTTTGATTTTACCCCTCAAATGTTGCATTTTGTAACGGGAACGAATTGCCCACAAGAGGACAAGAATAAGAGGAGAAAAATCCCTGCGAGCATTCACGGGGATGGGGATAAGGAGTTATCCTTCAAGGATGAATTCCCTATTGACATCCATAGCTCCTAGTCTTCTAGTTCAATTCAAAGAACCACTCTCTATAAAATATTGTTTGACACAATTCCACTTGGATTCACCTACTACTTGGCACCACCCTATGAACCCTCGGCTCTGCCACTAGATAGATATATGTTTATTATGGAAATTGAGAGTGATCTACCTTACCTTCTACCACTAGGCATTGGCAACCAAAATTCCAGGAAGAAGCTTAGGGTGTTGTTAGTTGCTTGCTTTAGCCTTAGTCTACATTAGACATTATGTAGTACAATCTAAACGAGCACAAATGTATGCGACGTCTTAGTGTTTAGTTGTCCTGCACAGGCAAACGTTAGAAGAAAATGTGTTTGATTGTTTTGCATAGACAAACCATGTTAGGAAAAAATATGTTTGGTTGCTTACATTATATTGCATGTAACGACCTCCATGTTCTAGTAGAGGTCTTATATTTGTAGTAGAGGTAGGAGATGTGAGAATATTTGTTTTTTATGTATTTGCCTAATATGACCAATTTTAGCGTACTAGTGAATGCTGCACTAGGTCCGCTTTGAAAACTATGTAAGTCTGCATAAGAGGCTCTATGGGCAATCAAACAGACGAATTAACTGTATTACAAGTTTAGATATAGACTAATATAGACAACCAAGAACATACTATTATTAGGCCAAATATGATAATCCCGTTCTATAGCTCCACTAGGGCTTTACAATACTTTGCAGCATTAATTTGACATGAAACCCTCTTTCATTGTGCAACAAGTTTTTCTTTGAAGAAAACCATTCCAATTGATTCCACATTTCGGCATACGTCAGTTAAGTTCTCTTTAGTTTTGTCCTCGTGTCCTCTTGGGTATATTCTCATTGCATAGTCACCCAAAGGATACTATATGATACTCCCTTTATCCCAAAATAAGTGTTGTTATGTTATTTGTGCCGGTCAAACTTAAGTTTGATTAGGTTTGTAAAAAATATTAGCAACATTTACATCTCCAAATAAGTTTATTATGAAAATAGATTTAACGATCTATCTAATGTTACTAATTATGTACTATAAATATTAATATTTTTTTTGTATATATTTGGTCAAATTTAAAAGTGTTTGACTCCTCAGGAAGTGAGAATGACACTTATTTTAGGATGGAGAGAGTATCTCGTTTTAGGGCTGAACCTTTTTATCCACAATATCTCGTTTTAGGGCTAAACCTCCTTATCCACGACATTGGATAGGATCAGGGGTGGATCTATAATAAATATGAGGGGGTGCGCTTGCTTTGCGACTGTAAGCATTTGTGAAACTAGGTGAATACCCTGCACGTTGCCGCGGGAATTCGAGTAAACTTATTTTTAGAAAACTTTAGGATGAATGAAATGAACTTTAAAGTATTACCCAATATTATGTTAGCAGTGCAAATTACATGTAGGTTGAGAGGAAGGAAAATGTAGGTTGAGAGGAAGGAAAAAAATCGAGATGTATAGTACATACAAATGTTGTATAGTACATACAAATGTTAGCAGTGTCAATGGAAGAGAAATCTTTAAAATAAAAGATCCCTCTTCGATGAAATGTCTTGGAGATTTTGATATTAATTTTTGATGTAGTGAACCGTGACAATTTGATGATCATATATATCTCCTTGGGAGAACCAAGGAGATGCAAAGGATGTTATGGTTCCCGTAAGCATCCAGGAGTTACCATTTGTAGCTGAGATTATAGAGATGTATAAGAAAACGAAATCATAGATAATAGATAAGACAACAGTACATGCTTAGAAAATGAAGTAGTACCTTATATTTTTGCACAAAAGAAGAATCTGTTGCTGGTGGGAGAGAAAATTGTTGATTTATATATATATATATATATATATATATATATATATATATATATATACACACACACACACACACACACACACACACACACACACACACACACACACACACACACACACACACACACATATATATATATATATATATATATATATATACATACACACACACGTCCTCATTCATTAGAATGGTGAAAAGGCAAATGCAGGTGAAGGGTCCAAATGTAGTTATGGAAGAGCAATACAGGGTTATATTAAAAATTGGAAGAGAAACTTCTTTGCACATAATAAATCTTAATTGTGTAGCTTTGGTGCAGCATGAATGGTCTTTGGTGCCATTTATCATTTGTAGACTGTGGACTAATGAACAGAGTAGGTACGTAAGGGAGACTCCTAGTTTTCTGTCGTTTGGTTATTCATGACATGCGTGGCGGAGGAAGGCCGCATGCATGGTATGAATTATGATACACAGAGGCAATAAACGCTCTTGCATGAGTTGCCACTTGCAGTAAAATTAGAGGACATGCGTGACTCGAAGGAAGTGGATGACGTGGCTTAAGAGATGCTAGAGAAATAAGAGTGGAGTTTTGCTTTATAAGAATTTAGGATGAAGGTGTGAATATGGTGAAAATTTAGCTCTTTGTACTGTTTTTAATTTTTTGTGTGGGTGCGGCTGCACCGCATTCGTCCCTAGGATACTGTCGTGTCAGTTACAAAAGGCAGAGGGGTCATCGACTAAACATTATCCACCACAAAATATTCACACTACATGTAAATCTATATAACACAGAAAAGCATGTTCTCTATCACGACCACCAGTGGGGTGAACCGAATCCATGTTGAATTGAAATTTTCAACCAAATTTCACAGTACAAGGCCAAAAGTACCCATGTGAATACTTATCCATCATGAAAAGCTTTTAGGCCCGGTTTAGATCTTTGGAATTGAAATTCATTCTAATAATCATAATTTAGGCATAGATTCATTGAGCTAATATGGTTATATATGAAATATATTTATATACTACTGTTGGCCATATAAAGGAGATACTTATGTGTTGCATTTCTGCATTAGGGGAGCCAGTCGAAGAGCATGCTATAAATTGCAGAGTAGAAATATAGCATGATGATCTATAGAGTCGGTTTTCATCTTCCACCTTATAAATTTAAGATAGTCTTATATGTAAACTTTAGAAAGTTATGAA